GAAGGGAACAGCCCTGATTGAGAGAGTTGTCAAAATCACCCTTTGGTTTTCTTTTAAACCTTATCAACAATGTCTGAAGTGGGAGATGGAGGTGATTTGCCAAGAGGGTATTTTACTTAATGCACCACTGACAATTCAAGAAAGCTGCTAAAATAAAATGTGAGTTTGGTGGGACTGATTTTGAGAATATTCTAATTTGTATTTCTCCCTTTCTGTCTCTCATCCTCCCTAATACACACACACACACACACACACACACAGAGAGAGAGAGAGAGAGAGAGAGAGAGAGAGAGAGAGAAAGACATTTGGAATTTGCTTGGTTGGAAGAGCTAACTCTCTAGAGTTTGAAGTCACTTTAGTCATTGAAGGCAGTATTAAACTGAATATGTTAGTGTCTTCCCCAGAGATATCCTGAATTTCCTTCAATCAAATTCTCTCTCTTCAAACTCACACTGTGTGTGTGTGTGTGTGTGGTATAGTGCCGGGGATTAAACCCAGGGTCTCACGCATACTGGGCAAGGACTCCCAGTCCTACGTTTTCTTGAAGAGAGAGAACTGAGAGGCAAGGTCCATAATTAATGGACAAAGGTCTCCAGCATGCGGTGCTGGGGTATGGCTCAGTGGTAGAAGGCTTGCCGAGCACGAGCTGAGGTCCTAGGTTCAATCCCCAGCACTGCAAAATGGACAGTCTCTAGGATACTCCAGTCAGGTGGAGGGAGGCTCTGTAGATATCTTGAGACTTTTCAAGGTCATGACTACTGTTGATGCCCTCTGAGGGGTAAAGGTGGGTCCAGGTGAAGTGTGAGCAAGCCTGTGCAATGGCAAAGATGGGCTGAAGTTCCTCCTGACTGGGAACTACCCTAGAGTTTCAGCTCCACAAATGCCAGAAGCTCCTGAGCACTCCCTTCTCAGCGAAATCTTGTTATCATTCACAAGGTCTATCTTTTCCTTTTACTCACCCAGAGTCACTGGCTCTAAATGATCTGCTCAATGTGGGTGACAGGCTCTAAGAAACACTGACTTGGTTGTCAATCACCCTGACRTTACTCACTGAAAAGAAATGTCCTAACTATTCATTGCACAAGTTAGTAAGATACAGAAGATGCTCCCTGATGCTGACTTGTAACAGACATTCAATATACATGCACTTTGGGAAAGGGGTAGGGGAAGGAAGAAAGCAAGCCAGCAATGGCTCCCTGTTATTTTTTTGTCTTCAATCATTTGTCACTCGATAACAGAATGTGGCAACTCAGTGAGCGACTTTACCCAAACCTCCTTACTGTAGGTGCCTCTCATTTGCAGAGAGGTAACAATACCATGCTGGCCTACTTCAGGGTGTTGCCTTAAGGGCCAAGTGAGTTCATGAATCAGAGTCTGTGACAAGAGAAAAGTACTGTGTGAATACTGTTCTGATAGTTGAGATGGTGTGGGAGGGGTCTGGCGAGTGTGTGTGTGTGTGTGTGTGTGTGTGTGTGTGTGTGTGCACGCGCGCGCATGCACACACACTTGTGTTTATTCTGAACAGAATAAGGCTCAATAGCTGCATATCTTCCTTTGAAAGCATTGCTTTAGAGAATTGTGCTCTTTGCGTTTGCACTACATAAATGATAATCACCAGAGAACAGAAACAACCCCCAAAACTGAGACACGCACCTGACATGGGCCTTGTGGCCTTTGGGATCTTGCTGTGATGCATCTTCTGTGCCTGGATCTGAGCTCCCCAGCAGAAACTGGCTTTGGGAGTTGTTTTGAGGGTGAGGATAAAATAAAATGAAGCTCTTAGGCAGAAAGTCATTTTGCTGTCCCTTCTTGAATGTGCGGACTGTAGGTCCTACTCTATTATCTTCGTTGTCATCATCATCATCATTATTTTGTAGAAGTGAAGGAACAATTCTCTTTTATGGGTACTAAGGCAATTCTTTTGTAAAATCCTTATATTTGCTATCAGATGCTTTCAAAATAAAGAAATAAATTAAACAGTTAATACCAGCCCCACCCGCCCCCATTACTCCTCCCCATACGGTCTTCTCAGAGAGTTAATCATGGCCYCAAGTGGCCGCCACTTGCCCCAGCGTCCCCCATTGAACATCCCCCGCCAGTGCCTTCAGCTGTGTACATCTCATGACGGGACATGTCACATCCTCCAGATTCCTGCAGCAGACTCGCCTCTAAGAAATTTGCCCCCTTGCTGTGGCTTTGTGCACACGCCAACATCAAGTGTCACAGCAGAATGGGGAACTTCGTGAGCAGAGGCAGTGGTGGCAGCCGGAACCACATCCTGATGCCTCATACCGGCAKCAGCCCTAAAGTTAATTACTGGCCTTCCCATAGCATGTTGCATCTGAGGTGACACTTCATAAATGTCACCTCATTTATCATCCTGATGCYCCTCAGAGGCAGGGAATCCCATAAAATCCACCCCGGAAGAACCGGTGGCAGCCATCCCCTCAGGTGGTTCCTGGGCAGTGAGGGGGCAGCCTGGGGAGATGTGTCACATCTTCTCTTGCTCTGTAACTTCAGCTGTTAAGGACTATGTCCCTGTGTTTACCACGACCATGATTCATTCCACAAACATTTAATGTTCCCTACGCTGGACACTGCAGGACTGAGCTCAAAGCCAGTGTCTTTGCCACTTTGAAATCCCACAGAAGCTAGAAGACAGGGAGAAGAGACCTCCAACAGAAGCAGCAAAGAAAGCCCGATGGGGGAGGTGTGACTGGACCCTCAGAAAGACTGAGGAGTCATCTGGGGAGGAAGAGGAGGAAGGCAGTTTGGGGGAGACTGGGAACTGGGGAGGAGAGAGGTGAGGCTATGAGGCTACATTGGAGTAGAGGCCATATCACAAAGGGCCTTCTCCAGGTGTCCTGCTGAGGAGTTTGCACTTGATCTTCTAGCAGGCTTCCACCTGCTCCTTCACTGYTTCCTCTCCATCTCCCCTGCTGCCCCTCCCCCGCCCAGTAACTCCCTAATATATACTTTTTTCTGGAGTRCATGTGTGGCCACATGGCATATAACTGGGTTTCACACCCTTCAGAAATGGGACAGAAATAGCCCTTTCCTGAAGGCAGAACAAAAAATGAAATCTCCACTTCCTGGGTCAGGGCTTGGGTTGGAAGGCTTCCTTCCCTGACCCCCAGGTTTCCAGAGCAGGGCAGGAATGTATAGTCCTGCTTCCTCGCCCCAGCTCTGGGGCACTTTGTGAATGAGAGAGTCAGTCTTCCTCAACAGAGTAGAATGATTCTAACAGAAAGAAGCATTAAAAAAAAAAAAAAAAAAGATGACTTTAATTTGCTGTGAACATCAGTGCAAATGTTATACAAGGTACAAAGGAAAGAAAAAGGCCCTTGGCTTTGACGGTGATTTTCCTGGCCTGCAATGAGCCTGATGATTCCCCAGACCTTCTTGACAGTCCTTGGTCATCCTGCAGCRGGGGTGGGCAGTGTGCTCTGCATTTCTGTTTGGTATGTCACTCACTCACTAAGCTAATAAGAACCCCACCAGGACTTTCTGGACATTTCAGAAATTATCAGATTATTTGGACCTGCCTAGCGTATACTCAGATGCTTGTCTTCTGCTGTGGATCTTCAGCAAGCATTGGACCCAGAATCAACCAGATAGTCCAAGGAGTTGAGAAGGTCAGGGAGACAAAGGAAAATCATTTTTAAATGTTTAGGGAAATCGGAAGTAAATGAGCATACAGATGATTTCTGAGGCTCCACCCAGTGCCACCCCCAAAGTCGATTACTGCAGGTGACTGAGCCATAACTCTTAGGCGATGGAGTCTTTTTTTCTTTTTTATAGTATTGGGGATTGAACCCAGGGGCGCTGAATCACTGAGCCACATCCTCAGCCCTTTTCACATTTTATTTAGAGTCAGGGCCTCACTAAGTTACTGAGGCTGACTTTGAACTTGTGATCCTCCTGCCTCAGCCTCTGGAGCTGCTGGGATTACAGGCATGCGCCACTGCACCCGGCTGAGCCATCACTCTTAAATTTACAAGTTCCCCTGCTACCCAAGCCAGTCTGAGCTTTGTCTCATCTTTGTACCATATTTTGAATATAAATACTATCCATCACATGGGCTGTGTCCAGTGCCCTGCCCCGCTTCTGGTAGAAGTGGCATCTGAAATGTGGCTTCTATTTGAAAATTCTTAGGGAAAAKAATTATAATTGATGATGTCCAAAAAAGAAATTGCCTTGGCAAACCAAGGCTGTTCATATCTGTAAGCCAGATTTCTTGTTCACCAGAGACTTTCCTACTGTTGTCATTTGGACGGGTTCTCTGTAGTCTTTAGGTGTTGCATTGATATGGGGTTGGCCTTACTGCTAGACCAATGAGACTGACCTGGGGGGATTTCAGGCAGGTGGAGGCTGGTCCCAATGCTTTTCTTCCCCTCATTTTTCCTACCTGCCCACCTAAAATCTCACCTTTATAGTGTCAGCCCATAGTATAGGCTTTGGTGACAGAGTCGTTGGATGCAGATATCTACCAATAAACAGGAAGGGCACAGATTCAAGAAATTGAAGATCCAAAGAAAGAGCTCACCAACTCTATTATTTCTCCTAAGTTCAGTGCAATTAGGGCCACAGAACAAAAACCATCCCAGTCTGAAAAATCTCAGGGACAAGCTAGTTAGCTCCACATTTTTCAAAATGGCAAACTAAGGCCCAGAGTGGGGAGGTCGATTGCCCAAGGATACTCTGCTGGTCAGGCTGCAGTGAGTCCAAAACCTGGGTTTCCTGACACCCAGACCAAAGGGAGCCTTTTGTAGACAACAGGCACAATTAGCAGCAATTTTTAGGGGGGCAAATCACTTTGAAATATGAAAAATGAAATGGCCGGAAAAATAGAGAAAATTTTCAAAATGGCTTTCTGACTCTGGGTAAACAGTAACCACATTTTTTTTTGCCTGTTGGAGGCCTGGTTTTTAATCACTCCACAAGCAGTTTTCATTTCTGTAGTAAAATTGCTTGTGGTTCTATTTAATTTGTTTCTGCAGGAGCCAGCTTTGGTGAAGATCTCTGAGGAGCTGGCGGGCATTTTAGCACAGCACGCACAGCCAGTCAATGAGAAACGGTTCCCGACGTGGAGGAAATTCCTCCAAACATTTCTCAGTCAAGGTAAATAAGACTGGAAAGTTTCCATTGAGGAGCAGTCCACACAGCCTTGGGTTCTAGTTTGGGGTCAACCAGGGCCTGTGTAGATTCTTTGCATGGCCTGTATTGGCTTAGAAAAGTGCTCCTGCAGCTGACTTTTTCTTTTAAGTGTTGCCTAAATATTTATCTTGCACCCAGCCTCTTCAGTAAATAGGAACTGAGCCTACCAAGCATGGCGTGTGTATCTCAAGATGCTGGGCCTTTTTTAACACCAGACCTCTCCTGAGGGGTGGGCTTTGGATCTCATCTGTGGCCTTAAGCAAGGTTCTTAGGCCCTCCGGAAGCCCTGGATCCTCGCTTACCTGCTGCACAAGGTTGTTGGGAAGACTCAACGAACTAGAGATATCAAAGTGTCTGCCACAGGTCTCTAATCAGTGCTAGTTTCCCCTTCCTTTCACCCTCCTCCCTCCTCATCTTCACTTTCTAAGGACATAGGAGGCTCAGCTGAGGGAGTAAATGGACAGATGATACTAATCCCAGTCCCAGAGGTCCCTGGGGGACCACACAGGGCAGGGTCACACAAGTCCTTGTTCTCTTGGAGTTGCAGTGTAGGTACATATGCGTTCCCACAAGAACCRCGAGACAGGGTTAATGGAACAGGCCATAGAGGGGATCTTTCCACTCACCGTCAAGTGACARTGATAAGAACAGTACATTAGCACTAACATATAATATAAGATGATAATGTTACATTAAATGACAGCAGCAGGAACAGCACAGTAGCCATCAGAGCATGGTATGATGACACACTAAGCACTCATGGTAGTTATTACATGCCAGGCACTATCCTACATATGCGTATATTAACATATTTGATCCTCCTAACAACTGTATGAAGTGGGTAAACATTGTAAACTCATCTGATAGAGGAGGAACTCAAGGTAAAAAGATTAACTCACCCCAAATCTCTCTGCTCACTCGTAGAAGAGTCCTTATAAGGCTACCTGTAGCAGAGCGAGGTGGCACATGCCTATAATTCCAGCAGCTCAGGAGGCTGAGGCAGGAGCATCATGAGTTCAAAGCCAGCCTCAGCAAAAGTAAGGCATGAAGCCACTCAGTGAGACACTATCTCTAAGTAAAGTACAAAAAAAAAAAAAAAAAAAGCTACCTCCACATCACTGTGGAGTCTTGGCCACAGCCAGTGGGTACATTTATTAAGGAACATGTCTTAGCTCTGGGTATTAGAGAGCATCAGAATGGACAGGGCTGTGGATTGTTGGATACACTGGCTGGACAGGGTGTGTTGATGCCCTGGGAATGGACTCTTTAAGCAACAGAATGGACGCAGCCATCTGATAAGAAAACCGAGGTGCTATGTGACCTCCAATATCCTCTTATCTAAAAGTCTAGGATTCCACAAATTTCCACATGCACCCATGCACMGAAAAGTAAAATTAAAAAACTCATTCCCAGGCCTAAATGGAAGAACATGAGTTTCCTTCCACAGAAATAAAATGTTTTTTAAAAAATCAAGAACAAGAGGTTTTTTATGGAAGGAGGGAAAAACATGAAGATCTTCAGGTCCAATCCAAATCAGAGTGTTGGAAAATTTCCAGATCTTCCAAGGCCAGGCTACAAAGCATTCCTTGAAGCTATTATGTGAATCCCCAGCCAGTATCTCAGCTGATCTGCATGGGAATACAGTTACTAAACTTTCCGTGCATCTCCTGTTCATCTCTATCCTACCCCTCAGCCACATTGTAAACACAGGGCTTATTGATGGGAAGAAAGACAGACTTTATTAATCCAGCTTTATAGATGAAGAAACTGAGTTTCAGAAAGTCAAGGAATGACTTGGGCAAAGTCACACAACYGAGAAATTGTGAATGGGAACACAAAGTTAGATCCTACAACTTTAGTACATCTTAGAACCTGGTTCTTGTAAGTAATGTGTTTTTGAAGGCTGTGCCAGGCTTGGAGCCTGGTGCATTCAGCAAGCCCTGTGTGAATGCTCTCTGATGGATCCGGGCATCCACCTGCTCCCTGACTCTAAGGTCACCCTCTCCCACTATTTTCTGTTTTATTCTACTTCTTTCCTCTCAAGGGTGCTTGTGGCTACAAAATGTGGCACAGTTTTGATTTCCATATCATGATGGGATTACATCAAAGAAAATAAATTCTTTCTTTTTTTAAAAAAAAAGAGGGATTAATTGCTTTGAAAGGAAAAATTAACAATGAACAGGTTGTGGTCATGAGGCTGAGAAGATAATTTCTTTGAAATAAAAAAGATAAAGCTGTCTTGTAAGTAATAAAGGACAATATGTTTCCACAGAGGCACTATCTTGCAAAATATAGCTGACATAAGTTAACTGAATCAGGGACCCACTCAATGTTTTGTTTTTGTAGATTTTGGTGGGTTTTGGGGGGGAGGTACTAGGGATTGAACCCAGGGGTACTCAACCATCCCTAGCCCTATTCTGTATTTTATTTAGAGACAGGGTCTTACTGAGTTGCGTAGGGCCTCACTTTTGCTGAGGCTGGCTTTGAACTCCCAATCCTCCTGCCTCAGCCTCCCAAGCTGCTGGGATTACAGGCATGGCCACATCTGGCTGGTGTTGACTTGTTGCATGTACCTTGCCAAATCCTCAGCAACTGTATCCATTCAGCTCACACTAGCAGGCTTCATTTGAAGAAAAGAACATCTGGGACCAACCAAATGAATAAGTTAGGGCTAGAATGTATACCCTCTGAAACAGTTTTCCTTTGAAATTTGGCATTTGTCGGGGATATCCCTAGCCCAATTTTAGACATTTAAGGAAAGCATCTCTTGTTTGAAGTACAGTGTCTTCATTGGTGTGATCAGAATCAAAACTGCCATTCTTCGTGCCCTATTTACTATAAGCCAAGCATTGGGCTGAATATACATAGATACAGTTTGTCTAAGACTCACACCAACCTGGCAAGGTAGGTCTCATTATGCCCATTTTACAGATGAAGAAAAAGAAGTTGAGATGAAGCTACTTGCCCAAAGTCTCTCAAGAGATGGCTAGGACAGGATCTGAGCCCATGTCCAACTGCCCAAGCCTAGGTCATCTCCTCCTGCAATCCCTGAGAACGTGTCCTTTCATCTGCTTCCATCTTCCCACCAGGCGGTGTGATCGAGGCCTTCCCACCTGCAGATAGCATCACCAACCTGACTGTGGACATGCTGATAGAGCCCAATGGAGAAATTAGGTTGCTGTCAACGGGAGACCAGCTCCATGCCGAAAGCCCCTTCATCTCCTCTGGGACTACCATGCCTCAGACCTCTGTGGATCCCCAAGTTCTCAGTTCTTTGTGTCTCCAAATTGGAGAGGCCTGCAAGACKCGAAATGTGATTGGTCACTTTTCTGTAGATCTGGTGACTTTTATTGATCCAACCACCTTGGAACAACAGGTAAGTTGAACTGATGTCACATAAAATACTGAAATTCTTCACCACCCCAGACCTCCATGCAAGGGACGATATGAGGGGGCTCGCTGTGCACTGGTGAGCTGACTGTAAATCTGCGTCTGTGCGGTGCATGTCCGCCAGGTGAGATCAGGTTTTATGTCTAGAAACAGGGCCAAGGTCAATCTCGTCTGGATACAGCTGGAGTTTAGATGGCTGCAACTCACCCTGCATAGCTCTGTGATTGGGCCCACAGATCTGTCCACTAGCATTAAGTCTGTTACCGTGAAACTACTTCATGCCAACCAGGGATTGAACCTATTATATTCTGTTCTTTTCATAATCATTAGAAAGGAGTCAAGAGTCCTTGTTTCCACTTCTTATCATTAGTTCACCAGCAACTTGGGTTGTYGATTTTTTCATTTAAAAAATGTATTGGGAGATATTTCAGAAATACAAAAAGGTCTAAATAATTTTATAATCAATACCATGTGCCCCCTCCTGCTTAAGAAATAAAGTGATGTCCAGGCCTCCCTAAGTTGCTGAGGCTGGCTTTGAACTCAGGATCCTCCTGCCTCAGCCTCCCAAGCCACTGGGATCACAGGCGTGTGCCACGACACCTGGCTGGATAAATACTTTTCAATCTTTTTTCTTTGCTTTGCTTTTTGTTTTTCCTCCAAAATCGCAATGTTTAAACTCATGACCTCTTCACAATTCAGTTCAGTTGCTCCTCTTTTCTTGTTGGGTGTCCCGCCCTCGGTCTGGAGAATGAAATAGCCTTCTAGCCTCCCTGTCTCCGTCTCCTCTGGCCGCCCAGTATTGTAAATATACTTTAGTTGTTTTATATTCATTATTCTCAGTTTTATGATTCTCCATTTCAGATGATGGCTTCAAAGCGAGAGTTTATGGTCTTGGCAGTTTTCAGCTTGTTCAATAACCATTCTCCATTTGCCTTCCCAGGCCTTGTGTTGGTTTTACATTCTGCACTCAGGCCCACGTGTTGATAGGGGAAAGGACAGACTGAAGGGCCCTGGGAAACCCACCTGGGGCGAGGGAGARCACGGACCTCGCAGGAAAGCAGGCAGAGGAGAGGCAGGGAGGCTGCCCTCCCACACGAACAAGGAAGAATGAACTTGGTGGCTTGAASTTGGTGGCTCCTAGCGTAGCAGGGAAAATGAGCTATAGCGACTGGTGACTTGTTGATTTGAGTGTGACACAGGTAGACCTGCACACAGCAATGAGAAGGATCTGCTCCACCCTGAGTCCTAGTCCTTCCCTGACCAACTACCCATTGGGACCTCTGGGAGAAAGTTCCCTCCCTTCCCTGGGCTGGCCCTGTGTTCCTGGCCAGCCTGTCCCACCCTAACTCCCCCTATGTCCCTCTCATTCTCTCCTGTTCATCATATGCCCTCTTCCACAGGCCTTGACACGTGCTGTCCTTCTGTCTGAAATGTTCTTGCCTCTTCATGATCTAATTAGCTTGCATTCCCATCYGTGGTATTCCAGCTCAGGGATGCCTTTCCTGACTCCCTGACAGAGTCAACCCCCTGCTATGGGCTCTCAGACCWTCGTGCACCCCTTTCGTATCCCTTATCTCAGTTGCAATTTCAAACTCGTGTACAGGATTATCTGGTTACTATCCATCTCCCTTTGTAGTTGGTAAACTTTCCTGAGGCAGTTACTACGATGTCTCCATTAAATGCTTAGCACTTACCTCTACTGTGGAGCAAAGTAGATGATGAATAAATGTTTGTTGAATGAATGAGTGAACAAAGGAGGTGTTCTAGCAGCTGTGGGATAGGATTGCTGCAGGTTGGTTTTGGGTAGATGAATGGGATGGGAAATATTAACCCAAGGTTCTCTGATTTCATCATACCATGACCTCTCCTTGCCCCTGCCCATTAATACTTGAACACGTGATCATTTGTGTTACTATTATCCATAGAAAATGGGGAGAAGTGCCCAGTGGCCACTCCAAAGGGTGTTTCTACATCAGCAAGGAAAGTATGCTTATTCTCTGTGTAGGATAGATTACTTGCAAGTCATAGGCATTCTCTAGCCATTTTACAAGTGACATCACCCCAGAAAGCACCTTAATTTCTTTTCCAACTGGGTTGCCTTGTGCTGCCTGAGAAGAGAGTGGCCCATTATCAGCCTCTCACTGTTGCCTGTTTAACAGATCTTTGAAAAAATGTTACCTTATTTTACTCAGCTTTGCTTCCATTACTTATTACTGATGATGCACCTCTTTTCATGTTCGTTGGACTTTTTACCTGTTTTATTGCCTGATTGCTTTTGCCYCTTTTCAACTGGATGATAATGCAAAGGTTGATTTATGGAATCAATATGCATACACATATGTCCACATATCCAATATACATGGAAGCTTATTGTATRTAAAGCTACACGTTGCACATTGTCATCTGAGTGGCCACTCTTTGTCTCTGTCTGTCCCCACCACACACCTGTCTGYCATGTTTTTCCAAAATAAAATCACTCTTTATTCCCTTGTAACTGAATAATAATATTTGTGGGAAAAATATTCCAAGAGACCCCAATGTCTCATTTTTCATCAGATTCTACCCATAAAACTGAGCGCTCATGGCCACTTTTCTCCTGGATCAACTTCCCGATGCTGGCAATAGTTTTCTCTTCTCTGCAAGGAAGTTTTCCTTGTCTGTGCGCGTGTGTGTGTGTGTGTGTGTGTGTGTGTGTGTGTGTGTGCATGTTCCTGTGCTAATATCAGTATGAACCCACGGGTTTCTATGTTATTTAATAGGTTGTATTTTGAAATTTTCATTATTTTGGTGCCCAAGTTGTCTCAGATGTGACCACTAGAAGCCCCTTTAAAGTGGCTCTTGTGTCTTTGACACAGACATTATTCTTTGAGCATTTTCTTACTTCTGGCACCATGAGATGCTCCAGGTTCAGTTTTCATTTTATCTTCCCCAGACCCAGGATCAACTCAGAATCCCTGGTTTCTTCAGCAGRKGAGGGTATTAAGTTTGGGGCCCTAGTGCTGTCATGGCTACTGGGRTGTCATTATTTCTGGGACCTCTCAGTGGACAGAGCTAGAACACACATGAATTATATATGTACAATGCATATAGACAATTGGGTGGATACACACACATATGCATACACCTGTCCATATATCCAATATACACACACATGCATGTAGGCCCCTAGAATAATTCTGCATCAGTGAATATATTTTAGAACCATGAGTCTCTGCCAATATCTCCCATTCTAATCCAATACACCTGTTTCTTTTATACTTCACTTTTTCCACACTTAACAATTTTGGCTTTAATACCTTAAAATTAAGCTGAAGGAAAAAAAAAAAAACAACAACAACAACCTCCCACTTTTCCAATAAGTGAGGAACTTAATTCTCTGTAGCCTCAATAAATTTTCTCAGTTGCTCAACCAGTTGACCCCTGGGTTTCATGTAACCAGTCCCTCAACCACACATGCTGTCTCCATGGCCTGCCCTGCCTCTGGTGCTCGGATGCCAAGCCCTGTCATTTGTGTTTTAAGGTTTTTGCAGTGCTCATCGTCACGCTGAAGTTTCAGGTAGTCAGATCTAGCTTGTTGGGTTTTTTTGTTTTTTTTGGTTTTTTTTGGCTTTATCACCTTGAACTTATCCCTTTCTCTAGTCTTCTGTTTTCCTCCATTGCAAAATAAACAGGTTAGCTTTCCTGACCTCTGAAGAAACTTTCGGTAAAATGACTCATTTCAATAACATTTACATAGTACTTATTTTTGGTATCAGGAAATGCAAAATTTAATAAGAAGAACCACTTTTAAAAATTTATTATAATTACAAAGATTTATGTAGACATATGTTAATCACAACAACCAGCCAATAATTTCAAAAAGCCTAAATTCTAATAATAGCATTTTTAAACAGGTTACAATAAATCAATGGATTAAATACTATAAAGATATTAAAATGCATGATTTTTTTGAGTGTCAGGTATGGCATTTATAGGCATTTCAAAAGAGTATAGTCAATTTGAAATGTTGAACAGAATTTTTGAAGAATGTTTAAAGAAAATATTTATTTCCTATATAGAATAGTGGAAGGGTAAAAAGCAGATCACAAACAGCATATGCAATATAGCAATTTTACAAAAAGAACCTAAAGACCACACTAAGTTATGACTAGTCATAACTAACTGTATAGGAAGCCAGAGGGTATGGTAGGCAGAGTAATGGTCCCCAAAGGAAAATGTCCATGCCCCATCCCCAAAACCTGTGGGAATGATCTTACATGGTAAAAGGACTTTGAAAATGGGATTAAGAATCTTGAGATGGGAGATTATCTTGGATTATCCAGATGGAGCCACTGAAATCACAATGGTCCTTTTAAGAGGGAAGCAGGAGGGTGACATCAGAAAGGAAGAGGGATTTGGAAAGAAGAAAGGACCATGAGCTAGTGAATGCAAAGAGTTTCTGGAAGCCTGAGGACTGAAGAAAACAGATTCTCCTCTCAAGGCTCTAAGAGGAATACAGCCACATACACATCTTGAATTTAGCCCAGTGAGACTTCTGACCTGCAGAACTGAACAGTAACTTCAAGATGAAGCATATCTGTTGGGCTTATTTACTCACTTTGGGGAGACTCTAAATGAAATGTGTTTATTGAGCACCTATTATGTACAATCCATTATGCTAGGTGCAAGAGAAGCTGCAAAGATGCTAGGGGTATGGAAGTGCCTACCTTTAGGGAGTTCACAATCCAGCTAGGGAGACAAGCTTTTTTTTTTTAATCATTTTTTTTATTGTTGGTCGTTCAAAACATTACATCTTTCTTGATATATCATATTTCACAATTTGATTCAAA